AACTTAGGTGTGTTTTACAGCTATACCCTTCAGCTGAATTCCTAATGAAATTGCTGTGGAGACACTGTATGCCTTGTTTTTCCTTTTTTTGTTAAACAGTTGTGGAAGGCTTCACTGAATGGAGAGCTGGGTTTGCTCCCTTGGAAATCCTGAGCCGGCTGGTGTATCAAGCAGTGTTTATTGGGATTTCGTGGGTTTTTTTCTTTGTTTTTAATATATGAAAATTTTAATTAAAAGCTAAACTATATGTTCTTGGGGCTGCAGAGTTGACTCGGAGGGTAAAGTGGTTGCTGTGCAAGTATGAGGACTGGAGTCCCTGTGCCCTATGGTAGGATGGGAGGTGGAGACAGGAGACGCCCTGGAGGCTAGCTACGGGTCAGCCAGCCCGGCTTACACAGAGGCAGTGAGACTCTGCCCCAAGGTAGAAGGCAAAGCCCAACACCCAGGGTTGTCTGCTGACCCTCGCTCACATAAACATGTACATAAAAGAGAAAGTACAGATTTTCTTGTTTGTCACCACAGCAGTCAGATCCTCCAAGAACAGTTACGACCGGTAAAAGATAATTGTATGACAAAGCATGCAGCTATGCAGCTATGCAGCACTGCAGGGTAGGAAGAGACATAGGCCAAGATCATTGCCAGACACATTCAGGGAAGGCACCATGATGAGGTTAGCTTTCAGCTTGCATTTTAAAAGTAAGCAAAAAACCCAGTGTTGACAGCCAAAAGATGGTTGAAAAGGTACATAGCATGTCATCTACAGCTGCTTGTCTGTATAGATATTTCTATATGTGTATTAGTCAGGCTTCTTTAAAGGAACAGAAATGATAGAATTATACACATACACATATAGATATATTTTAAAGGGAGTGACCACAGGCTGTGGTCTGTTAGTTCAGCTATGGCTGTTCCCTGATGGAAAAGCAAAGGACCTGGTAGTTGTTCAGTGCAGGAGACTGGATGTCTCAGCTGTTCTAGTCTGCCTCTGGAGTCCCTGGGAATTCCTAGAGAGCAGCTGGTCTTCAGTCTGCCTTGGATTCCTGAGAAACTAACACAGTGAAGGGATTCCTCCCCAGCAGGGTACATGGACTTGCCAGTGAGAGTGAGGGCAAGAAGGCCTTCCTTGTACTTACGTGGGCTGCCACCAGGAGGTGTGGTTCAGATTTGGGGTGGATCTTTCCACCTGAAATGATCTGATCAAGAAAATCCCTCATAGCATGCCAACTTCTTGGGGTTCAGTTGGTTACAAATATAGTGAAGTTGACAACCAAGACTAGTCATCATTGTGTGTCTTCAGCTCCAGAAAAACAGCACTGTGACAGTACTTGCCCCAGGAAAGGTGGGGAGGAGGAGGGAGTCTGCCTCAGGCTTGTAGTAAAGGCTTCAGCTCTGTCTATAACTTCATTACATAATTTCAATTTTGTACTAATCAACAAATGTATACTTTTACCCGACAGTAAATGTTAGAGATACAGGGAATAGCATGGTATAAACACAGTAGATGTGGTTAAGAAAGACCTTAAGCTGGCCAAAGGAAGCCAGACAGGATACACATAGGTAGTCCCAGCTTCTTAGGAGTTTAGAATCCACTTGAGCAACAGCAAGACCCTATTCTAGAGAGAGAAGGAGCTGGGCATATTGGTTCATACCATAATGTCAGATAGGATATCAAGCTCATCCTCAGCTACACAGTAAGTGTGGTGCAAGTCTGGGTTATTTATCTGAGTCCCTGTCTCAGAAAATAAAGACGAGAAAATTAGCAGGTACATAGAATGTTTTCTAGGGGATGATGAGATGAATTGTTTAAATTGGACTCCTTGTATATCTGTGATTTTATTTTATAGCGTTCTGTTTCCTCTGCGTAAACAGTCCAATGACAGGAAGCTCATCTCGAGTTCAGCCTGGTGTGTCTAATAACTTATTCAGGGTATTGGGGACATTTCTGTGTACGGCCTCCATTCTCTTCCTGAGAACTGCCTCATCCACTTGCCAATACTTGAGCAGCTTCCATGGGATGGATCCTAGGTTCTAGGTCCTGGAAGTCCCTGCTCTAACAACCTGCATTCAAGGTTAGCATACATAGACACATCAGATATGTGCTGTACAGAGTTTAAATGGCATCGTCATGGTTTTGATGAGTAGAACAGGGAAGTCTGATGAAGTGACTTGAAGAACATACCCAGCACAAGTGGCAGATGAGGTTGAACTGCATTGCAGACTAGAGAGAGGAGACCAGGAAGCAGCGGGAGCTGGGACAGGAAGGACTGTGAACCTGGAAGAAGGGGTCTGCACAGTGGGAACCAAAGACGACGTGGGCTGCTGGGAGAATGAATGATAGTTGAAAAAGTCTCAACTGTGGATATAGTTCAGTACTTATAGCATGGCGAGTCCTAGGTTCAATCCCTACCTAGTACCAGGGAAAAGTCTGTATAGCAGTTTAAATAAACTACTGTGTTGATTTAGTCTCAGTGGTAGTGAAGGAAAGAATAGGACTCTAGGCAGGCAGTGGTGGTGCACACTTTTAGTCCCAGTACTCAGAGGCGGGTGGATCTCTGAGTTTGAGGCCAGCCTGGTCTACAGAGTGAGTTCCGGGACAGCCAGGGCTACACAGAGAGGCCCTGTCAAACAACAACAACAAAGAATAGGAATCTATGTTTGGAAAGTACAATCTGCAGTCTCCTGTTGGAGAGGATGTGGGGTGCTCTTAGCCAGCATAGCACACGTTGGTACTATTTCCTGAGGTGAGACCCTAGGGGAAAGTAGATGTAGGAAGCTGCTATCAAGTTTTGTTCTGGGGACAGTAGGAGAGAAGGAACAGGAGGAAAGGAGGGAGGGGAAACTGTGGTCGGAGTGCAAAATAAATGAAAAATACGTTAATTAAATAAAATAAAGTTTTGTTCTGGGCATGGAAAGTTGAAGACACCTGCTAAACATCAAAGCAAGTATGGGTTGAATAAAGGGGCCTGACGCTCCTGAGAGTGTGCTCTCCATAGAGGACATGGCACAGGAAGAGAAAGCGCCATCGAGCTTGCTAAAGGACTCTGACCTTTTGAGGCTGAGTGGAGAAATAGCCATTAGCGTGTAACACAGAAAGCGGTTGCTGGTTTAATTCTGATTCTGTCCCTGGAAGCAGCTCAGCGTGCCTGCAGGCATTTAGAAGTAAATACTGCTATAGTTTCATCCATCGCCTGCCTTCCCAGTTAGCACTGGAGTCAGCTCCTGAGTCAGCCCCAGCCTCTGCCTCCCTCTGCCTCCTGCACTCTGGTGTCACTTGAGGAAGTGTGTCGTTGCCAGTGCCATGCTCACAGGCCTTCATGATTCCTGCTGGCTTTGGAGAAATGTCCAAGTTCTGAAGCCTGCCTCTCTTGTTCTGTCATCTCCACCTTTATGTCCTCTCTCTAGCCAAGATTGAACTGCAGTGTTTCAGGTTCCTCAGACAGCTCCTGAGTCTTCTGATAGTACTGTTCAAATCTGCTGCTTCTTTGCAGTGCCACTTACCTCGCACAGCCTTGTTTACTCTTCGAGGGCCATTCAGATGCTGCTTCTCTACTCGCCCATCCTCTTCGCATACTCACAGGGCAGGCCCCTTTTTCCCACCCTTACACATCTGCCAGGAAAGAAGGAATTATTTTTACAAAGCTACTCTGTGTGTTGATTCTGTTCAGTTTTGCCCCCAAATCCAAGGTCATAGTAGTTTGTTTTAAGAAGTATGTTTTCCCATTATTTGTCAAGCTTGATTCTATAGTGATGAAATATACAGAACATTATGCTGTAGATTGATGGAAGGTATCTGACAGTTCATTTGGAAGTATGTTTTATTAAAAGAAACAAACCCAGCTAGGAGCAACAGTGTCTGTAGTTCCAGATCCTGGAAAAGCTGAGACAGGAGGATCACTTGGGTCTAGGAAATTCAGGCCATTCTAGGAAACATAGCAGGATCCCCTAAAACCTAATGCTTTATTAAGATATAAAACTTGAAGGTTTAAAAACAACAACAAAATAGGATGACCCTTTGAAACGGAGTCGGTCTACTTGAGAAGAATGAAGTCTGAGACGGTCTTACTGTGAGCTGGTAACTTACTGACTTTGTTCTTCTCCCTTCAGCCTGGAGGAGGACAAGGAAGATGGTAAAGCTATACCAACTGAATGTGCCATCAAGGTATTTAAAACAACCCTTAATGAGTTTAAGAACCGTGACAAATACATTAAAGATGATTTCAGGTTTAAAGATCGCTTCAGTAAACTAAATCCACGTAAGATCATCCGCATGTGGGCAGAGAAAGAAATGCACAATCTTACAAGGTAAAGAAACAGTGTGCTGCAGGTGACCTTGGGAATTGCCCTCTGTACCAGGACTGCTAGCCAGGCCAAGGCCCATGCTGTCTTTTAAGCTAGTTTATAGAAATAACAGAAGGCTTTGACTTTCTAGTGCTTCCAAGGCTTTTTGTCAGAAAACATTTCTGTGCTTTGAACCAGAATTCATACTTTGTGAATGAAAAGCCATTTTCCTTCTTCATTAACATTTAAGGGAAACTAAGGCATCGTTTGCCCAGACATCCTGTCATATATAGGAAAACTCTCTGTTGAACAGTCTTTCTGAAGAATCACAGAGCATGCAGGGCGCTGGCCACACCTATGCCAACCTTAACTCAGTACCATTCCACCTGCCAAGTTCCCTCCCAGTAGGGGCTGTATCTTCCTGGTTTTGTATTCCCATATCTCCTGTGTAGAGCATAGTACCAGCTCAACACAGGCCCTAGTTAGGTGTTTGTTGAATTAATGGCATGTTTTCTCCTTCTGACCTTTATATTCCTAATCATGTCTTTCTATACAGAATGCAGAAGGCTGGAATTCCTTGTCCAACAGTTGTTCTGCTTAAGAAGCACATTTTAGTAATGTCTTTCATTGGCCATGATCAAGTTCCAGCCCCTAAATTAAAAGAAGTAAAGCTTAGTAGTGAAGAAATGAAGGACGCCTACCATCAGACTCTGCATGTAAGTTGTGCTTTATACCTCCTGTGCACTGACTTGTAAACACGCTGCTTCTATCCGGGTTAGAGCGTGCCTGTAGTGCAGCTGCTTGGGAGGCCCAGGTACTTGAGCCCAGCTCTTCAAGGTCAACCTAGGAACATAGCACAAGAGCCTAGCTTAGTAGATGGTAAGTTTTAAAAAATCATGGGGCTGGAGAAATGGCTGCTCTTCCAGAGGTCCTGACTTCATTTCCCAGCAACCACATGGTGGCTCACAACCATCTATAATGAGATCTGGAGTCCCCTTCTGGCCTGCAGGAACACATGCAGGCGGAACCTGTACACATAGTAAATAAATACACTTTTTTATTTAATTTGGTGTTTTGAGACAGGGTTTCTCTGTGTAACTTGAACTTTGGAGCCTTTCCTGGAACTCACTCTGTAGACCAGGCTGGCCTCGAACTCACAGAGATTCGCCTGCCTCTGCCTCCCGAGTGCTGGGATTAAAGGCGTGCGCCGCCACCGCCTGGTGAAATAAATAAATTTTTTAAAAAATCATGGAATCTTACTTTTTGAAGGTAGCATAAGAAGGATAAACAGAATCTTGTGAAGGATTGTTGACATTGAAGTTGTCTTTTAGACAGGCACGGTGGTGCACACCTGTGTACTTGAGAAGGCAGAGAGAGGAGAATAGCTACAAGTTCGAGGCCAGCCTTGTCTACATACTAAGTTTCAGTCAAGTAGCCTGTCTGTTAAGACGCTGTCTAAATGGGGAGGCACTAGAGAGATGATTAGTGATTAAGAGCACTTGCCGCTCTTGCAGTGAACAAGGTTCAGTCCCCTGCTAGATGATTCACAACCCCTGTGACTCTACTCCCGAGGGTCTGATGCGGGTACAATGTAAGCGGGAACTCACACACACAAAGTGAACATAGATAGTCTTTAAAAATTAACCCTGCCTGTGATCCTACAGCGTGGGCAGCTAAGGCTCAAGGACCGCAAGTTGAAGGCCAGCTTGAATTCCTTAGTGAGACCCTATCTCAACACAGTTGTTTTCATGTCCATTTGTGTGCTGAATAGTTTTAGAAAACTTTAAGATATTCATGGAGCAAGAGCAAGCTTCATTCTTAGTATGAAACAATTGTTCACAGAACTTCTTCAGTCAAGTTTAGCAGATGGAATCCCTCTGTCTGACTCCTTAAAAGTTAGGGTTCTTTAGCAGTATTGAAAGGGTCGTGCATACCTTTAATCCCAGTACTTACTTAGGAGGTAGAGGCAGGCGAATCTCTGAATTCAAGGACAGCCTGGTCTAGTTTCAGGACAGTCAGGGCTATGCAGAGAAACCTTGTCTTGAAAAACCACAAAAAAGAAAAAGGACAGGAAGGGCCTACAGGCACTGTTGGGAAATCCGAGGGAAGCAGATTGGCATCGCTGCGGCAAAGTGATGAGGGGAGTGAAGACGGTGGGTGACAGTAGCGGGTCCAGGTGCTGCCGTTGGAGCCCCTGTCAGGAATCTTGACAGTTACGTGTGTTTGGGGACAACAACTGGATTAAGTTGAAGCCTCCAGTTTAGAAAATGTCCCCAATGCCGTCGTGATTTCTTCTGCAGTGTCTTCAGTGAACACTGGGGAAACTTAGGTGTATGTCACACACTGTCTACATGGAGCCTTTGTGTCATGCAGCAGCTGATGTCAGTATAAAAATACTACCCAGTAATTTGTTAGGATATGATCAGAGGGGCCTGAGCTTAAGTGGTGCACATATCCTCAGCCTTGGTTCCCTCACAGTGCTGGTCGTCGATGCAAACAGGGAACTTGGGGGCAGGAAGTAGACTCAGAGCCAGTTTACTTCTGTGCAAGCCCAAGACTGAGTTTGCACCTCAGTATCCCTATAAAAAGCCCAGTGTTATGGTGTGTGCCTTAATCCAGCCCTGAGGAGAAAACGGGATCCCAGGGGCTTGCTGGCCAGCTAGTCTAGCTGAATCCATGAGCTCCAGGTTTATAGTGAGAGACTTTGTCTCAGGAACTAAGGTGGAGAGCCACAGGGGAGGACACCTGATTGGACCTCTGGCTTCCACATGCATGCACATGTACACCCCACATGCACACATTCATGAACACGAGATGCAATTTCAGAGGTTAAACACCTTCCACTGCCAAGAGAAGAACAGGAAAGAAAGGAAATCATGTTCAGAATGCTTTGGGGAAGAGATGAAGTGATGGGCTTTGGTTATACAGTTCTGTTAGGGGTAGCAAACACACATTTTCAAGGGTAAAGTTAGGGGTTATCATTAATGATGAATGTATGATGCTGCTTAATTTAAAAGGCTGGAAACCAAGTGTCCTACACACTGGGAATCCCAGCACTTGGGAGTCTAAGGCAGGAAGTTCATGAGTTCAGAGCCATCCTAGGCTACACACCAAGGCACCGGCTCACAAACAAGAACACCTCTTCTACCATCACAGGCAGGAAATACTGTTCCCTTGGAACTGTGTCTGCTCCATGGAGGTCTCAGTGGGACACTGTCCTTTGACAGGAAGTGGCTAGACAACAGATGCCATTGGAGTCTGAGCCTGGGCCTGACTCTGGTCACAGCAAGGAAGCAGAATGGCAGAGTCCTGCCGTCCCTCATTCTCCTCAACACTGCTGACACAACAGAAGTGCCGCAGTCTTAGATCGTGTAGGAGAGGGGAGAAGGGCTGGGCTCATCTGTGGAGTGTGTGCCCATCTTAGATCGTGTAGGAGAGAAGGGCTGGGCTCATCTGTGGAGTGTGTGCCCATCTTAGATCGTGTAGGAGAGAAGGGCTGGGCTCATCTGTGGAGTGTGTGCCCATCTTAGATCGTGTAGGAGAGGGGAGAAGGGCTGGGCTCATCTGTGGAGTGTGTGCCCATCTTAGATCGTGTAGGAGGGGAGAAGGGCTGGGCTCATCTGTGGAGTGTGTGTGCGTCTGGGCTCAGTCATCGGTGTGACCAAAACAAGAGACAAATAAGGAAGGAAGGAAGCTGGTGTTTTTTTGTTTTCCGAGACAGGGTTTCTCTTGTAGCTCTGGCTCTCCTGGAACTCTGTAGACCAGGCTGGCCTTGAACTCACAGAGATCCTCCTGCCTATGCCTCCTGAGTGCTGGGTTTAAAGACATTACTACTGCCCATGAAATAGGTTTTTAACTTGTTTTCTGGGAAGTACTTGTTGACACATTCATTTTAATTAGTCATTTAATTCATTTAATCAAGGTCTATTAGAATTATGCTTTCATTTCTCTTCTCAGTTGATGCAGCAATTATATAATGAGTGTAACCTTGTGCATGCTGATCTCAGCGAGTATAACATGTTGTGGCATGCTGGAAAGGTAAGTGGCACATTCCAGTTAATATTCAGATCACATTTCCTGGTGTAAATTATTGAGTGTTACATCAGTCTATGCTTTATGTTAACTAGGTCTGGTTGATTGACGTCAGTCAGTCTGTAGAACCAACCCATCCTCATGGCCTGGAGTTCTTATTCCGTGACTGTAGGAATGTTTCACAGGTAAGTGTGCCAAGCAATGCCTTTTTTTTTTTTTTTTTTTTTTTTTTTTTTTTTTTTTTTTTTGGTTTTCCGAGACAGGGTTTCTCTGTGTAGCTTTGCGCCTTTCCTGGTACTCGCTTTGGAGACCAGGCTGGCCTCGAACTCACAGAGATCCACCTGGCTCTGCCTCCCGAGTGCTGGGATTAAAGGCGTGCACCACCACCGCCCGGCTAAGCAATGCCTTTTAAAGGATGTCCAAGGTTCAGATATTTTTCTCACTCCTAAGAGATCATATTTGTAGAAATTGAAGGAAAAGATACCGGCTACCTTTAGTATAAGGAGATAAAGGAGGGTTTTTCAGAATTCACTTATTCATGGACTCTGGAGTTCATGACTCATGTGGCCTCCATTTCTAAGAGATTAAGTTTTTGGTTTGGCTCCTGCTGTTTAAGGAGTGAGTGGACTTAATGTATGCCTAATGCATAAACCAAAGCTGAAGGTGGTTAGGCCTGCATGCTTCCTCCCATTACTGCTAGGAGAAGGATGGCTTCCTCACTGGGACAGTGCCTCCTCACTGGGACAGTGTGTGCTCACTGCCACTGTTACTCCAAGGGAGAGTGAATTCACTCCCTGAGCACAGAGAAAGGACTTGCTATCAACAGATCCAAGTGATAAATAACTGTTTACTGTGGGTAACCTGTGGGCCTGCTTAAAAATAGTAATTCATGGGATTTAGGGACTACATTGCATCTGTCCACACAAAACAGTGCCAAAGCCGCTGTATACAGGGCACCACGTTTATACTGAAGAAGAAGTAGCAGGCTGTGGAAGTTCCTGAAAACAGACAATATCGTGTAGACCTGGGCCAGTTAACCTTGAGAGGGAAACCTCAATGGCTGCAAGATGCTGAAGGAGTGTAGTGCAGCTTGTGCCTACAGGGTTGTGAGAACTTGGCTGATGTTCTGACTGTGTGTGTCGCTGCTAGTTTTTCCAGAAAGGAGGAGTAAAGGAAGCCCTTAATGAGCGGGAGCTCTTCAACGCTGCTTCTGGCTTGAACATCTCAGCAGACAACGAAGCTGATTTCTTAGCTGAGGTGAGTGCCTGGCGCACAGCTTTGTCTCCTGCTGCTAGAGAGCTGCCCAGAGGGGCTCAGGGCTGGTGTGACGCTCCTCCAGTCTACGGGTCTTCCTTCTCTCTACGTGGTTCTTTTCAGGCATGAAACCTAACACGTCTTCACAGAGTTCATCACAGTTTGGCAAAAATGGGTAACAGCAGGCGGGGTGTGGCACGAGTCTTTAATCCCAACACTCAGGAGGCAGAGGCAGAAAGATCCTGAGTTCCAGGGCGGCATGGCCTACATAGTACTCAGTGTGTTCCATGCCAGGGGTCTAAAAAGAAAAGATGGGCAACAGCACATTCCTACTTACTCTTATTCTCCTGTTTGAAGAATGAGGAAGGTGACTGGGGAATACCCTGCGTGATATAAAAAGAGTAATTTATTGACTACCTTCCCTTAGCAGAACATAGAAAGCTAGAAGTAGCCACATGCAGACATATGCCTTCCTTGTAGTGCCAGAGCCACAGGAACGGAGGCAGAAGGCCTGGTCTATGTAGAGAGCTCCAGGCCAGCCAGCAAGATGATGGTTT